CTCTTCATCCCAAAGGTGGAGGATAAGCTGGTAGAGTCGTGATGTGAGCCAGAAGCCGCCAGCATGGTAGACCTCTTTGGGTATACCATCTGATCCACAGGCTTTGTTGGTTTTCATATGTTGGATAGCCTACTTCAGCTCTCTGATGGTTGGTAGATCACCAAGGGAATCCACCACAAGGCGTTGCAGGATGGCTTGGAGGGGCTTCTCTGTTACAGTGGACTCCCAGTTAAGGAGGAGTTTGAAATGCTCCTTCCAATGCAGACAGATGGCGTTATCATCCTTGAGGAGCTGGGAGCCAGCCTGTGATTGGAGGGGGTTTTGTCCAATGGAGCGGGGTCCGTAGGTTGTCTTGGTAGCCTGGAAAAAGTTGCACATGTCATGATGGTCAGCATAGCCCTGGATCACGTGTGCATTCTCCACCCACCAGTTGTTCTTCACGTCACAGACACATTGCTGGACTTCAGCCTGCAGCTGGTGGTACACTGCTTTCGCTGAGTTCGTGGATGGCTTTGCCAGGCGATGAAGGCTGCACGCTTCCGCTTGAGATCACGGATCTGAGCATCGTTGGTGTCAAACCAGTTCTGGTTCCGTCGCGATGCAAACCCAATAGTCTGGGTGCAGGTGTCTTGGACAACGGACTTGAGCTGCTCTCAGTGAGCTTGGATGGAGATGTCATCAGCAGTAGGGACTTGCTCCAGTGCACTATACAACTGGGCCTGGAATTTCTCCCACTGTCCAGGGTCCTTCAGAGCTGTGACATTCAGCCATCTCTGGGCAGCCTTCTGGGTCTTCTGGTGTCTTGGCACCACACAGGTGTTCATCACTGAGTGCACAAGTCAGTGGTTTGTCCAGCAGTCTTCAGATCCCTTCATTGCCCTCGTGACAAGCACATCCCTCAGGTCTCTACCTTGGATGATGATGTAGTCCAAGAGGTGCCAGTGCTCTGACCTTGGATGCTGCCACATGGTCTTGAGCTGGTCTTTCTGGTAGAAGACGGTGTTCATCACGATCAGGCTGTGTTGGGTGCATTTGGTCAGGAGCAGGATACCACTGGCATTGGCCTTCCCCACACCTTTCTTGCCGATAGTTCTGCTCCAGATTTTGTGGTCATGCCCAACTTGGGCATTGAAGTTGCCAAGGAGAATGACCTGTCATCGCTGGGGATGGAGGCAAGGGTGTTGTTGAGATTGGAGTAGAACCTTTCCTTGACTTCCTCATTGGAATCTAGAGTTAGAGCGTATGTGCTGATGACGGTGGCATGCTGGTTTTGGCTGAGGTGCAGGCAAAGGGTCATCAGCCTTTCATTGACACCTGAAGGGAGTTCAGGGAGCATGCCAGCAATCTTGTTCCTGATGGTGAAACTGACTCTGTGGATATGGGGGTTGCGGTCTGGTTTCCCTTTCCAGAAGAAGGTGTACCCTCCACTGACCTCCCTCAGCTGTCCCTCCTTGGTGAGCCAGGTTTCACCGAGAGCAGCAATGTCGAAGTTGTGCCTCACTAGCTCCTGAGCCATGATGGCAGTTCATCTTTCCAGGCGATCACTCTTTGGGTTGTCAAGCGTTCTCACATTCCAGGTTCTGAAGTTTAACTTTTCCTTATTTCGACCGCAGGAATGGTGATCCCACTGGGTGTGGATTCCCAGCCAGGAGAGATGGGACAGCCTATTTTTGGGGCATCTTTTCTAGCCCCCTCCCCATCAGGGTGAGAAGAGGGTATCCTAAAAAGGACTGCTCAGTCGCAGATGCATCTGCCAAAGGACACCCCTGTCCCAACACAGGTGCCTGATGACCATCATGCATCCGCCACCTGTGTGCAGATTCTTGGTTGGGGGCCTCCAGGTATCACAGCCCTGCCCCTGTCACCAATCCTCCATCGCTACAGGGATTTTGGACCTGACAGAAGCCTGCACATGGGATGTTTAGTGTGGGGACTCTGGTGCGCAGTCGTGCCCACATGGTCTTGGCAGTTGGTGGCTGGGTTCAGTGGCATGGCAAGCCATGACAACTGGGGCCACTTCTCCGTTGCAGCCTTCTTCCACCTTCACAGCTGTTGGGGCTGCAGCCTTCCTCTGCCTGCTCCACCGTTGAGGCCTTCTTGGATCATTCTTTGTCTGGAACCTCCCCCTTGACCTTGCCACCGTAGGTGGCCCTACCAGGAGCATGAGCTCCAGACGGTATCACTCTCAGGGTCATAGGAACACGAAAAACCTCTCCACCACGACAAGGTGATGATCCTTGGAGAGGACTCATGTAATGTGTAGGCACTCAGATAAGTTACTGTGGACTCTCTGGCACTAACTTTAATTTGTTCATTTGCCCGTGCCCTTACGAAGGTATCATGATGCTAACGAATCAAAGCATTAACCAATAAAGGAATTACTCCCCTGATAAAAGGGACTGCTGCGTACAAGCCCAAACCCATTACAAGCCATGCACACTGTCTGCCTGTGGGTAGAGAGGACAACACCAATGTGCTTTATGTATATTTGAAGAGTCAAGATTAAATTGAAGGGGGGACCTTTCATGTGCCTGCCTCTTTGAGCAGAGACCGTTGATATGGTTTGATGTGTGCCCAGCAGCTTGATGTGTAAAGGAGAAAAGATTGTTCCAAATATTCAAGAACCAGTGTGATCCAATGCCAATAATGGGCTGCTGACACCTAGGTCTAGAGCCCTTCTGAATTTACTGCCAACAATATGGAGGGTGGTACTACTGTGTCTGAAGGAATGTGGATAAAAGACAAAGCAGACACAAATCTGGGGGTACTCCTAGATCAGTAGCTCTTGACCTTTTTTGTACCAGGATCCATTTGTACGCCTCAATGGCCAGTCCCAACCCAGAACCCCTCATTCCTGACCCATTGCCCCCTGCCTCCAGACCCCAGCCCCCGGTGGGAGGGGGATGTGTGGGGCATGGGGAGCCGCAAGCAGCCCTTCGCAGGCTGGAACTCTGCCAGCCTGCAAAGGAAAAGCCCTGGTTTCCTGGGGTTTTCTCCTTTAAAGAAGAAGCCATTTTGACCCCAGTACTTTTTCCTGCCATGGCAGGGGGTCGGACTTGATGATCTGCTCAGGTCCCTTCCAATCCTACCAACTATGAAACTATGAAAGTTTGTTCACGACCGTTTTTTGCAACCCACTTATGACCCTATTCTTGCGACCCACTTTGTTCGCGACCCCTATTCTTGCTATCCACTTTCCATGAGTTGAGACACGCTGCTCCCAGATCACTATATGAATCACAAGAGTAGTTAGAGAGGTAGTATAGCCGTGTTAGCCTCAAGTCAGGCAGAAGGCAGGGCAGCTTTAGAGGCTACCTTGTTCAGAAATGCATAAGCTTTCATAAGCACCCTTCATTAGGCTGAAGGCACCCTTTGGAAAATGCCAGCTCTTTGCTTTCACTTGTTTTTTAATGATGGAGAAATTGTAGAGCAATTCTCCCTTTCAAAGACCTCAGAATGACCAGAACAGGTGAGAGTGCTGTCGACACTATGGATTTCTATTTGAAATCTTCGGGTTTATTTTGTGAATCACATGTAGGCGTTTGCATTACATCACAATGCTAATATTGGAGGCACTCTTAAAAGAATTGTGTGGCACCCTGGGGTGCTCTGACACCCTGGTTGAGATTCACTGCTTTAAGGTATCACCCTGCCCTGCTTCTGCCTCACAGTATTTTAGGAGCAACCCCTCGCAGCTTTCACAAATCAAAAGGCTTTTTGACAAATCAAAAGGGATGGGGATGCGATCTGGGAAGGGCCTGAAGCAAGGTGCACGTGGGGGAGAGAGCAGATGTAGCTAGAACTGTGCTGGGCGTAGGCAGAGGTGTGTATGTGATGCTGACTGTAATGGGGGTGCGTTTGGCTCTGTGACAGGCATGTGGAGGGTGGGAGATCTGTGCCAGGAGATCCTAGAATCGCAGAAAATCACAGAATCCCGCTCAAGGCAGGATCATCCCTGTCTAATCCACCCTGGACAGACATTGGTCTCACTAGTTCCTATGAACCTGAGGAACACACCCACGCACACAACTACCAAACCTAGCACCAGCGACACCAGCACCTTTACCACTGCCAGATGCTGGGGCTGTTTCTAGGAGGGCCCTCCAGAGAGGTGTGGGGAGGTGTCTGTGTGGGTGTGTTTGTGTGTGGAGGTGTGTGTGTTTGTGGAGGGGCGTATGTGTGGGTGTATGCATGTGTGCATGTGGGAGTCTGTGTGGTGTGGTATGGGTGAGCATATGTGCCAGGGTGTGTGTCTGCGTGGGGGTGTCTGTGTGGGGAGGGGTGTATGTGTGCATATGTACAAGTATGTGTATGTGTGTGTGTGTCTCTGTGGGGGGGGGTGCATCTGCATGGGGGTGTGTGGGCAGGGTTGTCTGTGTGTGGGGGGTGTATATGTGGGTGTATGGGTAGGAGGGTGTGTGTGTGGGTGTGTGTGCGTGTATGTGGGAGTGTGTGCGGGAGCATGTGTCAGGGGGCGCATCTGCATGGGGAGGTGTGGGCAGGGTTGTCTGTGTGTGTGGGGGGGTGTATATGTGGGTGTATGTGTGGGTGTATGCGTGTGTATGTGGGAGCGTGTGCGGGAGCATCTGTGTCGGACTGGGTGTCTGCCTGCGCGGGGGTGCGTGCATTTGTCTGGGCCTACAAGCGGAGCCCAGCCAGGGCGAGGCGCAGGAGGGGTCGGCCGTCGCGGGGCGGAGCGGGTGCCCGTGGGTGCGCGCAGGTCCCGCGGGCGCCACGTGCGGGGGGG